TAAAAGTTAATAATCAACATAAAGAATTGCATGGCAATTCATTAGTCAACACAGTTGACTCCAAAGTCATCAAGATGGCAAAAGACATTTTCAACAATATTAAAAATTTAAGTAACCTAAATTTTGGATGGATCGATGTCGAATTTGACACGGCTGCACAAACACCAGTACTTCTATGCAGGAACTTCTATGCAAGAAAACTGTACAGATTCAATAATAACACATATACCGGTACCTAACTCGATTTCGCACCATGTGAAACAAGCAGATATAAATTAACATACCTTTGATCGTATACTTTGGGGATACACGGCGCAGTTCACTCATATCCCTAGGTGAGAACTCACCGACTATTTATCTACCTGCACGCTGTGTAGCTGGTGTCGCGCATGCGTACGCAGACCGGGCAGCCACAATCGTGCAGCACCACTCACTGCACTCAGCCGGCTGCACAAACTGGAACCGAATGACGACACAACTTTGCCCTTATTGGCTGAACATTTTAGTCACACGCATGACGTTTGTATCCCCGGAAGTTCCAATGTGCTATCTGCTATTTCTCCCGAAAAGCACGTAAAGCAGTGAGAACTGGTTTTCAGTTAATTTACCTGTTAAAATAAAGTTCGAATAAATTACATAGATGCTTTAATAGTACACGTCAGTTACTGTAATGTTGCTCTGCTTTATTTGTTTAATCGTCTAGTCTGTGAAGAAGGCATTCAAATAAGAATTGCATTGTACTCTGTACATGACAATAAAAACTTTGAATCCTTGAAATAAATGTATTTGATCTTTTTCCTGGCAGCTATATCTTTTTACACAGGGCCACTATACACAATAGTTTATTTTTTTCACTGCTGACAGTTTGTATCAGGAGTTGCCAGTTGGTTATATTGTAAAAGAAGTAATATGCATGCAGGTGATACTTGAGTAGATTTATCTACAACCTTCTGGGGTGCTGCCATTGCAGTCAGGTCTCGGAGATTACGAGGAGTGGAAGTTGTCTGACTTGGCTGCAGTCAATTTATACCACTGCGGCCGCCGGCAGATGTCGCTCCACGTCACGTCAGCTGCAGACAGCTCAATTTGAACGCACGAAATTGTCGATAGTTTGTCTAAATTTCTAATTTTCTTTATTGTTGAAATTTTATATGACGATAAGTCGGCATATGATTTATATCGCCGAGCCCTACTACATAGTTTTTATGTCAATGAAAACATTTTGCCACGGACATGTCTTGCTACGGACACATTTGACTGTGTACGGACAGGTTGGCGATCCTTGGACTCCACCCACTGTATCCAGTATGTGTGCCTCCGTTTAGGAGTTTCTTCCTCACTTTAGGCGGCTGCTTCCAGGTTTCTTCCAGCTTATTCTTAGGAGAGGACCGATTTTTAACATGTATGGATACGTAAGAAATCTGCTTTGTGCTTTAAGTTTTATTCATCATTGCCTTATGGACACATCTCTTAATATAAATGTTACATTAGAACCGTACGATTTGCTCTTTGACAATGCAGTGGAAGCGTATTACAAGGGGGACTGGATGTCGGTCATCCTTAACATGGAGCGGGCGCTTCTGAACAAGGGGGCAATCCGACGTGTCAGGGCGCAATGTCGCCTTTCGTGTGCAAACCTGAACGCTTTTGGCGGCCCAGTGCCGGGCTTGGGCTTTCCAGTACCGGGCAACGGTTCTGTGGAGGATCTCAGCTTTTTCCAGAAAATTTTAAAACGGGCTGACTGCGTCAGTTCATGCGAAGCCGAAAATTTGGGCCCACCATCTAAACACAAAATCAGCGAGGAAGTGGAACTTGAGTTTCAGAAAAGGACACCCTATAACTATCTCCAAGTTGCCTACTTCAAGGTAGATGATTATTTATTTATTTATTTATTTGATGCATCTTAGGAAATGTAAATCAGGCAAGTAGTTCTCAGCAAACACTAAATTAGTTGATGTTTTTCACTGTTTGGGCATTCTTAGATTTTTGAGCAGTGATATGCGCAGTTTTTTCACTATTGTCTGCAACATATACTTGAGTTTTCTTAAAATTAAATTAATTTTGCTTCGGTATAAAGAGAACTTCATATCGTAGATTAAATCTGCTATACTTATTTTACTTCCGTAAGTAGCATTTTCTTGTGACTAGTTTTCTTCAGTATTTGTTTTTAACCTTTGAAGTAGTACTGGTACTCCCTATACACGTACCCCTTGATTTTTTTGTGCCACGTCGTTAGGCGGAGAGCGTTACTGCTTGCGGGTCCGGTTTACCAGAAAGAATATCTCGAAGAAATCCTGAATCACAATCTTGCGCGAGTCGTGCATAGATGAATAACTTTTGACTTAACATTATAAGTGGAAGATTTTTTTCTGTTGTTGTTTTGAAATTCCAACAAAAGATTTGATTCATGCATTCATTTTATTCATTTAGGTATAGTTCATCTCATTCTTTTATTGGAGGTTCTCTTAGCAACTTTCCCCAGTTGTAAGTAAACCAAGACTATTTGCAATTTTTTTTAAAGACGCATAATGACCTTTTTAGAGCTGGAGCCTCACATGTGTAATATATGTGTGTACTTTGCTTTATTGGTATGATCCCTTTGTTCAGTGATTTAAGGATTGCATTTCTGTGATCTGGAAGTGCATAGCATGGACAGAGTACAGCTTAGATGTGTTTCCTGATATTATCGATCGATACAATCATTCAATTTTAATATGCGCTTAACTATGAGTCGTGTAGTCCTGTCTCTGATGCTGCGTTCCAGTCAAGTCGGAGGTCGTATTTCCAAAATAATAATAATAAAAAAAACGAGTTCCGAGGTGTCTGGAATGCAGTATAAAGTCAGCCTGTACCCGTTAGTTACCCTAATGCCAGGGTTCCCGAATTTCAAACCTGGAGGACCAGAATCAAACACAGTTTGCTGATTTCCCACATCTTAATCAGCTCATTACTAAGTGTGGTTTATGTTTGAGCAGGGAAATCTGCAAACTGAATTTGATGCTAATCTTTTTTGGGACCGGATTTGGGGAACCCTGCCTAATGCCATGCCAAAATAACAGCTGTGCATAGGCCTATGTTTCCTTAAAGAATCTAGAGCTGATAGACATAGAACATTTGTTTGTGTGTGTGTGTGTGTGTCCCTAGTCAAAAACTCCTTTAGGATTCCAAAAGAAAATTCCAATTAGAAAATCTATTTGATTTTGGAACCAATCCTATAGGATTTTATCCTGTCCTATAGGATTTTATTCTATCCTATAAAATTCTGTAGGACTGCATAGATTTTGTCTTTTATCCTGTAGGATAATATCCTATAGGAATTCTATAAGATTCAATATAATTGTATCCTTTGTCTTACAGGAAAAAATCCTGTGTAGAATCCTATAGGTTACATCCTATAGGATAAGAACTAAACCAAAATGGCACGATCACATGATTATCCGTATAAACTTACATCTAATCCTATAAGAATAAGTCATATAAAAGTCCAAAATACCACATTTTATAAACCTACGTAAAGATTTCAAATTATATAGGAATATCGGTTTATTTCTTGTTTAAATGCATTACAATAAATTCTAAATCCTATATATGTCATGCTTGTTAATTATATTAAATTTGGATTTAATTCACACATTTCCATGAACCATTTTAGTAACTACCAGAAAAAACACACTACAACCAAATACATAATTTCATTTTAATTTATTAAACTCAATACAACAATTGTCAAAAACATTACATATGATAGTGCTGAATTAATTAGTCCATCCAAAATAAGAAAAATCCATGTAAGCAGGGGTGGGGGAGGGTGGTATGACACACAAAAATAAATGGGGACAGAGACAGAAAGAAAGATTAGTTTACAAGAAGCAAGCTCACCTTCAAGGAACAATACATCTCTACCTGCACCTGTTAAGCGTCGCCGAGTACATTACTGCACAGTCAATTCAGAATTTTTTTCCAACATGCTTCATTCAACTGAATTGATCAAATGAACACTATAGATTGTAGCACTTATGTGGTGCCTTTACTCATTTTAAGCAGGTATCCAGTTTTACTTCCATTCATTTGGAGGCATGTGAAACAGTAGATTGCAGAAACAAGTAGGAGTGAAAAAAAACTACTTCACCTTCATGTAACACAGAGGTCACACTCTTAAATTTCTTCTGCTCATCTTATCTTCATCTGCACACTTCCGGGCAATCATCTTCTTAACTTCATTCTTGTCCAAACCAGATTTGGCAGTCATGTATGCTGCATATTTGAGAAAAAAAGGCCCATAAATATTCAGCCATGGGATAAGCAGAACAGTTGGTTTGTGCAGTTGGGACTTCTTTAATAAAAATTTATAAGCATGATTTATAGGAAACGAAACAAAAATATGCATATCTATGTGTATATTTATTTTGTTATGGAGTTTATGTTGACCAAGGCAGGTTAATGTGTGTTATTTACCTATAATAAAAAATAATAAAATTAACATTTTCTTAACAGGATTTTCACACTTGCCAACCACAGGAAACAGCATTTCTACCACTGCCTACACTAAAGCATAAACTATCCAACTGTGGGGAAAAAAATAAATTAAACAAATCTGTATAAGTAACAGCTTTTGGGCAATTTAACATCTTTATTTAGCACCTATTGTATGATAACGCCATTTAAAATAAGCCTTAAAGATGTCCAGATGAAGAAATCAATGAATTAAATATGAAATAAATTTTAACTTACCAATAATGTCAGAAACTTTGCGAGGGTCCAATTGTGACTTTGCCTCTTTGTCTTTGAATGTATTAGATGTTTTACCAGTCATACTATGGGTTGCAAGTACATGCCTTCCAAAGACTGCAGTGCACAGCTCCCTTGTGGCCTTTTTGGGGTCCCCCCATTTAATATGTGCAAACTGGTGCGTTGTTGTTTTAGTATTTGGACCAATGTTTACCTTCAAAACACCACAAAACATAAAATTAATTACATAAATATTATCCATTTAGAAAATTCACTGATTGATTTGCAGGAGTCGATGAATATGCCTTAGGCCGGAGTTATAGAATAAACATACAAAAATACTCTGTTTCTAAAGTTAAGTGTGTGTCAATACATTAAAGACAAACATACCCTAAATTGTTGGATTTTTTCTAAAATGATTTTGTTTTCTAAAATGCAATTGGATTTTTTTTTCCTTCAAATTTTAAGAAATTAAAAAAAAGCAACAAGTAGTAAAGTATTTACCCATTCCCTCTGTGAGCCTATTTTGCTGAAATCTGGTGGAATTTTATTGGGCTCCTGTTCTGCCTCAGGGAAGGCTACACTGGTACCAGGGCCTACAATGCAATTTGTATAGTTACTTTTAATGACTATGCATATGAGGTTCGAACTAAACATCAAAACAGTATACATGCTCCCTCCAAACACAAGTGAACATCTGTCACCTGATCAGGGGCGTCAGAAGCATTTTTAATGTCGTGGTGGACACAGTGCTGGGTGAACTAATATTTTTATGTTAAATATGGGGGGTCCAAATGAATAATTATGAAATATGAGGGGGACATATCCCCCTGAGATTTAATGGTGGCGACGCCCATGCACCTGATAGTGCTCAGCTTAATATGAAAGACTTAAAGAACTTTAAGCTTTATGATAATACTGCATAAGTAATTGTCTATATATCTGTATATAAATACTAAACAAAGTACAGAAAGCAAGATGAAGTTACCTTTGTTTGCAGAGTTTCTTTGAATAGCATCCATTTGTGCTTGTAAGTGGAGGAGTATTTTTTTAATCTCTTTCAATTCAGAGAGGATTTCATCATTTTTACCATTATCAAGCTAGATAAGTGTGTGCGAGAGAGAAAGATATGGAGAGATGGATAAATAATATGCAATAGGCTGTTGTCAAAACATTGTAAAAACTGTGTTTTAAATATTACTGTAATTCACTTCCTGGATTATTTTACATAGCTGGTTTCATCTATCTGTTAATGTACTGACTTTTCGGCACTACCTTAACATTGTGTCTTTTTAACAATATTCTTAGTGGTTAACTTAGCTAATTCACTGTGCATACAAAAAACAAAAGAGTAACATATGATTGTGCTGTCTTTAATAAGTTGGCACAGGATGTACATTATACATCTCCCTCACTGTAATATATTTTATCTTGTGTTCATGCAAGAGTATTTCTGTTAATGAAATTACATTCAATTCAAATTGAGCTGTGTAGAAAATGTTAACGGAATGTTACTTGTCAGTTTTCTGCTGTGGTTTTCCAGTATTTTTACTATACAGTTAAATCTGTCAGCTATACATAGCCAGGACTACTAGTCTACTACATAGTAAATTATATGCGGACAAGATTGCTAGGTACAAATAAAGTAAAAATACACTAAACAGAAGAGAGAGTGCCACTTGAATAAGGAGAAAATTATGAACAAAGCAGATATTAAATCACAATACAATTATTCAGTGAGTTGTTACTCACAGAAGTTTCAGTAGCACTGGAATGGCATCTCTGAGGAAGTAGATTAAGTGAATCCTGTTGAGAGACATTAATACTTAGGTTAAAGGTATTTATTTATAATGCCCTAAAACTAATTTTGCCATTTGAGATGTACATTCCATTCTTCTATTACATGAAGGTTGCAGTCAGTGATAATTTCGTTGACGAAATATTTTCGTTATAATTTGTCAACGAAAAATTTTCACTGACGAAAACGAGACGATAACTAAATAAAAATTAAGTGATGATGACGAAAACTATAATAAAAATATATTGACATTTTCGTTAACTAATAAAAACGAGACGAAAATGTGAGTGAGGGACGTTTTTGGAAATGATCCGATCAGAATTAATCTTGGTGCGTGGCGCGGTAAGACGCACACGCACATTTGAAAATTAAGATACTGAT